CTCTCCCCCTCCTCCATCATTGCTCTCCCCCCTCCTCCATCACTGCTCTCCCCCTCCTCCATCACTGCTCTCCCCTCCTCCATCACTGTTCTCCCTTCCTCCATCACTGCTCTTCCCCCTCTACAATCACTGCTCTTCCCCTCTTCAATCACTGCTCTCCTCTCCTCCATCACTGCTCTCCCCCTCCTCCATCACTGCTCTCCCCTCCTCCATCTCTGCTCTTCCCCCTCTTCAATCACTGCTCTCCACTCCACCATCACTGCTCTTCCCCATTATGCGTCACTGCTCTCCCCCTCATCCATCACTGCTCTCCCCGGTCCTCCATCACTGCTCCCATCTGCATCACTGCTCTCCCCTCCTCCATCACTGCTCTCCCCTCCTCCATCACTGCTCTCCCCTTCCTCCATCACTGCTCTCCCCTCCTCCATCACTGCTCTCCCCTCTCCTCCATCACTGCTCTCCCCTCTTCCATCACTGCTCCCCTCTTCCTCCATCACTGCTCTCCCCCTCCTCCATCACTGCTCCCCTCTTCTTCATCACTACTCTCCACTCCCTCATCACTGCTCTCCCTCCTCCTCCATCACTGCTCTCCCCCCTCCACCATCACTGCTCTCCCCCTCTCCCCCCTCCTCCATCACTGCTCTCCCCGGTCCTCCATCACTGCTCCCTTCTGCATCACTGCTCTCCCTTTCTCCATCATTGCTCTCCCCTCCTCCGTCACTGCCCTCTTCTCCTCCCCTCCATCACTGCTCTCCCCTCTTCCATCACTGCTCCCCTCTTCTCCATCACTGCTCTCCCCTCCTCCATCACTGCTCTCCCTCTCCTCTCATCACTGCTCTCCCTCACTCCTCCCTCACTCCACCCCCCCCCCTCCATCCCCGCTCTTCCCCATCCCTCTACAATCACTGCCTTCCATCTTCAATCACTGCTCTCCTCTCCTCCCATCACTGCTCTCACCCTTCCTCCATCACTGCTCTTCCCCCTCTACAATCTCTGCTCTTCCCATCTTCAATCAATGCTCGCATCTCCCCATCACTGCTCTCCACTCCTCCATCCACTGCTCCCTTTCTCCATCATTGCTCTCCCCTCCTCCGTCACTGCCCTCTTCTCCTCCATCACTGCTCTCCCCTCCTTCATCACTGCTCTCCCTTCCTCCGTCACTGCCCTCTTCTCCTCCATCACTGCTCCCCAACATTACTATCACCGGTGAGGCTCAGATATACAATGTTGTTACACTTGTTTCATTATGGGAAGATGTTTTATCATATTGCAATTCTAAAACACAAGGAATATTACCAAGCAGTTCATGTCGTAACTAGCACAGAGGGTACAGACGCTGGTCTAGGCATGTCTGTTGGTCAGAATATTATTTAAGTCGCCTTAATAATTATCCAGAGGTTGGTGTGCCTTGAGCCCCCCCCCCCCTAAGCAAAGTGTGGTGTGTTAGTGAGTACACAAACACACAGTTGTGATGGGGACCCGTATACACTGTCTGAAGACATCCCAGTGTGATACTAGGTGCGTTTTGCCACTATCTGACGAGACTTTGGGAGCGTTCCTGGTGCTGGACGTGTACGAGGGGTTTAAGGTGCTCGCTGCGTCGCTGGGTCTCTCGTGGGCTGTTGCTCTAACTACCTTTTTCTCATAGTTGCTGTAACTACCCAGTTCTGAGAGGCAAGTGCTGGCTGTGGTACCTGCTTCACAGCTGCCATATTATTGACCTGTAAAAGAAATAATATGACAAAAGGATTTTGCCGGAATATTCTGGATATATTCAAATTAATTACGACCTACAGTGTTGTATGACCAACCTGTCCTCTTAAAAATAACGTCGCTTTTGGCTCGTATGCGCGCTAAGGCCAAAAGTGGATGTAATTTGAAATGAAATCGACTCACAAAAGTGACGTACTGTCCCGTTTTCTATTTGAGTCGTCCGGCCTACTAGGAAAGGTTAGGAGAGGAAACTTTTAATTAACTTTTACATAACGTTTTGAAACTTTATGAGAATTTCCTGCCCACCTAACCTACCTGAGGACCCTTAACTAACTGTTGTTGAAAAAAAAATCTCATATTTAATTTTATTTTTTCTCATTTTCAAATTACGTCCACTTTCGGCCAACCGGGCAAACGGCCACAAGCGACGTTATTTTTAAGAGGACAGGTAGTACACAGCGAAAGCGTTATATCTGAAGACCGTTGCACGCAAAACAGGAAAAGAAAAAGCTACTGGAGTGCAGGCAGTCAATGCCAGAATGCAGGCGGACAATGCGTGAAACGCTGCCTGAATTTTCAGTTGGAAGCCTCAGTACCCCTAGAGGATTCAGTGGAATCCCAGGTTGCATTGTATTGGACCATGTATTGGTGATGTGGTCTAGGGCGTGTACTTGGGAGTACAAAGTGAGCGGGTCGAATTCTCTTCTTCGCTCCTAATGATTTTCTCATTGACACAACAAGTTGATGCGATTTCATTGTGAACAGTGTTAACATTTTGAACACTGTGAACATTGTGAATATTGTGAACACTGAACAATGTTAACATTGTGAACATGGTGAATATTGTGAACACTGAACAATGTTAACATTGTGAACATAGTGAACACTGTGATCATTGTGAACACTGAACATTGTGAACACTGTTAACATTGTGAACACTGAACAATGTTAACATTGTGAACACTGAACAATGTTATCATTGTGAACATTGAGAATACTGTGAGCATTGTTAACATGGGTAACATTGTGAACTTTGTGTACATTGTGAACACTGAACATTGTGAACATTGTGAATACTGTGAACACTGAACATTGTAAACATTGTGAACACTGTGAACATTGTAAACTTTATGAACACTGAACATTGTGAACACTGAACATTGTGAACACTGTGAACATTGTGAACACTATGAACACTGTGAGCATTTTGAACATTGTGAACACTATGAACACTGTGAACATTGTGAACATTATTAACAGTGTGAACACTGGGAACACTGTGAATTCTGTGAACATTGTGAACATTGTCAACACTGTGAACACTGAACATTGTGAATATTGTGAACACTGTGAACATTGTGAACACTGTGAACATTGTGAACACTGTGAACATTGTTTACATTGATAACATTGTTAACATTGTGAACATTGTGAACACTGTGAACATTGTGAACACTGTGAACATTGTGAACACTGTGAACATTGTTAACATTGAGAACATTGTTAACATTGTGAACATTGTGAGCACTGTGAACATTGTTAACATGGATAACATTGTTAACATTGTGAACAGTGTGAACAGTGTGAACATTGTGAACACTGTGAACATTGTGAACACTGTGAACATTGTGAACACTATGAACACTGTGAACATTGTGAACACTGTGAACATTGTGAACACTGTGAACATTGTTAACATTGAGAACATTGTTAACATTGTGAACACTGTGAACATTGTGAACACTGTAAACATTGTGAACACTGTGAACATTGTTAACATTGAGAACATTGTGAACACTGTGAACATTGTTAACATTGAGAACATTGTTAACATTGTGATCACTGTGAACATTGTGAACACTGTGAACATTGTTAACATTGAGAACATTGTTAACATTGTGATCACTGTGAACATTGTGAACGCTGTGAACATTGTGAACACTATGAACACTGTGAATATTGTTAACATTATTAACAGTGTGAACACTGAACATTGTGAACACTGTGAACATTGTCAACACTGTGAACACTGTGAATACTGAACATTGTGAACACTGTGAACACTGAACATTGAGAACACTGTGAACATTGAGAACACTGTGAACACTGAACATTGTGAACACTGTGAACACTGAACAATGAGAACACTGTGAACATTGAGAACACTGTGAACATTGTGAACATTATTAACAGTGTGAACACTGTGAACATTGTGAACACTGTGAACATTGTTATCATTGAGAACATTGTGAACACTGTGAACATTGTGAACACTGTTAGCATTGTGAACATTATTAACAGTGTGAACACTGTGAACATTGTGAACACTGTGAACATTGTTAACATTGAGAACATTGTGAACACTTTGAACATTGTGAACACTGTGAACATTGTGAACACTATGAACACTGTGAATATTGTTAACATTATTAACAGTGTGAACACTGAACATTGTGAACACTGTGAACATTGTCAACACTGTGAACACTGTGAATACTGAACATTGTGAACACTGTGAACACTGAACATTGAGAACACTGTGAACATTGTCAACACTGTGAACACTGTGAACACTGAACATTGTGAACACTGAACATTGTGAACACTGTGAACACTGAACATTGAGAACACTGTGAACATTGAGAACACTGTGAACATTGTGAACATTATTAACAGTGTGATCACTGTGGACATTGTGAACACTGTGAACATTGTGAACACTGTGGACACCGTGAACATTGTGAACACTGTGAACACTCTTGACATTGTGAACATTCCTGACATTATGAACACTCTGAACATTGTGAACACTCTGAACATTGTGAGCATTGTGAACATTGTGAACACTGAACATTGTGAACATTAATAACAGTGTGAACATTGTGAACACTGTTAACATTGTTAACACTGTGAACTCTGTGAACATTGTGAACATTGTGAACACTGTGAACATTAATAACACTGTGAACGTCGTGAACACTGTGAACACTGTAAACACTGTGAACACTATGAACACTGTGAACACTATGAACACTGTGAACACTGTAAACACTGTAAACATTGTGAGCACTGTGAACATTGTTAACATTAAGAACATTGTGAACATTGTGAACATTGTGAACACTGTGAACAAGGCAGCATGAAAGAACGCATTTCCTTTTTTAAAAACACTGTATGGGTCATATTATATGTTGGTCAACTTATAGAAATTTAAATATACATATCACAATATATACACCTTCAGTCACATCAGAGTTCACAACATTGTTTCTGTCTTGCTCCAACAGAGAGAATATCGGAAACGGAGAAAAAACAACTTCAGGGAAAAGTGCCAAGCCAAAGGATGTCGAAAAGGAAAGGCAAGTTAATGAAGGATGCTGTACACGGGTACATCTCCCTCGACCCGCTCTGCGTCGCCATCACCAACACCCCACAGTTTCAGAGACTCAGGTAATAAATAACTTGCATTACGTAAATATTTTTGGAGTGTTAAGAGCATAAAAAATCAGTCAAGTGTATGCGTGCTGGCCTCAGCGACGTGCATCCTTGTTACATCCAATTGTTCTCTCTCGTGCACCTGTATATTCACTGTTTATAGCGTAACTGGGTATGGCATCAAATGTTCTATTTACTTAGAATACAACTGTTCTGCAGGTGTTCTACCCTGAATATACCAGTGACCAATGTTTTTCTTTATCAATTGTTTTCTTGATACGATTCCCTTCTATATTAATTTGGTTGTTTCAAGTATATCATTAATCCCTTTTGGCGATTCATTTTGCCCATTTATATACATTTCATCATTCGAATAGTTAACTGCGTTCGTCATTTTTCAGGAAAATATCAAATCAGTTTTCGTGATCTATCATCGTAAGAGTGGGTAATGGTTAACTGGAATACCTAAATTATCTGTGGCTGAATGTTCTCTAGAGAATGTTAACATTACAGGGTGAGCCAACACGCACTTTATAATCAGAGTGAGGTCTAACTTGGGTGAAGTAACTATGAAAGACAGCGTAAGTATGGATATGTAACGTGTATAATTATAAAGCCAAGTTTCGTATTTACTTTATTACATCCAATAGTACATATCAATCACGGCTTTAGGATTGTACAGAGTATTACTACAAAAATTGTTTAAGCTAACATATTTGCCAATTTAGACACCGCTGAGTTGATGGCTGGAAGCACTTTATGTTACGTCTTAATATTCCGCGTTTGTAAACACTGATCCGCTCTCGTGAACCTATGTACTTAGATTGAAGGTTACATCCTTCGTGGGGGCAAGTGTACATGTATACAACGCTTGACTGCTGTAGAAGGTTCTCCGTCGGCTTCGGCCTGTTTTTGATAAGGAGTTCGGAAGTCTTCTTGGTTTTGTAGAATATTAGACTTCCAAGAAGCACTTCCGAACTCCTTATGAAAAACAGCCCGAAGCCGACGGGGAACCCTCTACAGCAGTCAAGCGTTGTATAAATGTACACTTGCCCCCACGAAGGATGTAACCTTCAATCCAAGTACATAGGTATGACGTCGGCCAAGGTGACGAGGCGTTTGACATGCCATCTTCAATCCGGTGCCCCTAGGAATCACATGAGACAAGCCCATGACATCACCCTAACAAGAGAAATGTTGAACAAAAATACCTGTATAATAGACAAAACCCAAGATGCAAGAAGATTACAAATTCTTGAAGCAATTCACATTAGAATAGAACAACCTACCATGAACACCCAAATCACGGAACTATTTACTCTACCCACCATGAGAGTAAGGACAAGACCAGATCATAACGATGCCAACACAGAAGACAATGTTCAACATAACAGGCCAATTACACTTGATTAATCTTTGTATGTAGATAGAAGCTGCCTCGTATGGGCCAATAAGCCTTCTGCAGTTACCTCTATTCTTATGTTCTTATGTTTCACCCCACATTTATTCCATATGACAGAAATCAGAAGATACAACTGACGATTTACTATAAAACCAAAAAAACGGCCTACCTACTCATGAGAAACTCTCCAGACACAAAGCAGAACGCTTTAAAAGAGACCAACAACGTCTATGCCTTCAAATGCCCACTTGGGGACTGTAAGCCTCAAAGAACTCAGTATATAGGCAAGACAACAACATCTCTTTCCAGGCGATTAACGATGCATAAGCAACAGGGCTCCATTAAGGAACATATAATCTCTTCCCACAACCAGACCATCACCAGAGAAATCTTAGCAAACAACACAGAAATCATCGATAGATACATCGATAGCAGGCGGCTTGACATCTGCGAGGCACTACACATCAAGAAGTCAACACCAGCAATCAACAGCCAATTAATGCACAACTATATTCTACCCACTTCAAGACTCCGCACCAATATAGAAGCATCAAGAAATATGGGCCAATAGGCCCTTTGCAGTTACTTCCATCCTTACCTTCAATTTACCCAATTAATACCCAATTAATACCCATTGTTTTGTGTTCTGTCCTGTGTTGAAAGTTTTGTTCACCTCATCCAAAACTGTTGTAACATATCACCTCACCCAAAATGCGGGTATAAAATGAAAGCTGTTTAAATCATAGCGTAGTAAGAACTCTGTTTAGTGTTTGCAGGTTATAGTTGTGTGTGTGTAAACTAAAAGTCTTTGAAAATGTAATATATTATTACGAAACGCGTTCAAGTGTCGCGTCAGACTAGAATTAAAAATGAATTTTGGAGAATTGATTTTTCAATTACCATCGGCAGTGAAAAGAAACATAAGAAATATTGAGAAATTCGTGTTAGAATTATTAATCATACTATTTCGGTCATATTTAATAATATATATATATATATATATATATATATATATATATATATATATATATATATATATATATATATATATATATATATATATATATATATATATTGTGACGGTGTTCCCCCCCTTATAATTCTCCCACGCCTGCAGTAAGAGTCATGTCTGCTTTTCCCAAGCGTTCTCTACGTTGCAGGCTACAATTTGATATATGGGAGAGAGTGAAGTGTTCTCGGAGAGCCGAGAAATTTGTGAAATAGTAATATTTTGGCCTGTGGTTTAGGCCCTTTAGGGAGCCAAGATGGCGCTTACCTCTCTGATCTCCCGCCAAAACCGTGTGACGTCAGTGGCACCGGATTGGTCACCGACAGCAATGTGGCACCGGGAGCCAATGAAAACCTCCCGTGGCGAAAGTGACGTCACGAAGGAAGGGGGTCCGGCCAGCGCGCCGGGCTGGCGCCAGCAGTCAGACACGACACGTCATAGAGGTCGGACGTGCGACGAGTGGTCCTGTCTGTCGGACAGCTGTTTCCCACTACCGTGGATTTACGCGTCACCTGAATTCCGCCAGTACTCTGAGAAGTCTTCCCTAGTTCATGTGTTGAACCAGAAGAGGGAATTGACGGTTATTTGAGCAACAAGTGCTCCAGTCAGGTACTGTGCCAGTAGCAGTGAAGCCGTGCAGTGACGTATGTTGACGTCTGTGGCAATTCACCAGTTCGTGACAGCGTAGTGGCTGACAGAGCCACTGGGTAGCTGAGGAAGAGAGGACTATTTGGGGAACCGAACGACTGTAGCTGAGACGTAGGCGACAGCCGTTGCTGGGAGAAGACGACGGCCAGGAGACCGACTCCAACCTTCAAGAAGTCAAGGAGGAGGACGGACCTGCAGTGAGGAGGCACGGAGACGACGCGCTAAACGGTGGGACGACGAGAGGCTCTGGTAGGACACGACGACGTGTAGTGTGGGGGCGTTCCCGACACGAGGACCAGGAGCTACATCTCGACTCTCATCGGAGGATAGGGTGAAGTAGGTGGTTCTAGTTCCCTCCCCATTCCCCTTTAGTTAGCTGTGTTATTTGGCTATATTATCTAGCCCGAAGATTTTATATGTCGTGAGCAAGTCTCACCTATGTCACGGTAAAGCACCAGTGTGCTAGACAGTACTATCAAGAGTACTTGTAATATTCATGTTGATTATTGGTGTGTACAGGCACCAGGAACCAGTGATAAATTTACTGTGTTGTGTATATCTTTCTATAGATTTTGATATGAACATATAGTGGTGAATTATATATAATATTATGCCAGTATTTGGAGGTTAGGCTATGTGCCCAGAAACTATTTATTTTCCATGTATTGATGATTGATTTATATACCATATATATGTCTATGTCCATTCAGTGAATAATCATTTGTGAGTACAGTGAATCATTGCGTTATCGCCCACGAGAGAAAGTACTGAAAACTCCCGTGTTAATATTTCATTATATATTGTTGGATAAATAACAGTGTAAGACCATTACAGTGAATCATTGTAGAATTGATTGTAGGAAAGACTGTTTGAGCCTGAGTACAGTGTAACTAAGTAATTCGGTTTATTTGTGCCATTATAGAGTGTGCGAGTTTCTAGTAGTATTGGAGAATTTAAAGAAACCGCGCGCGTGAATCTAGCAAACAAGCAAATTTCGCGCGGAGAGTCCATTGCGATCAGCTGTTCTTGACACTTGATGAGGAGGGGGAGAGTGTTGCCCTCTAGTGATCGCATAATATCCGTGGGAATTACCGGCCGAGTCAGGATCAGTTGATTTATGATTATTGTGTGGCCTTGTGACATCTTTCATACATTTTAAGTAAAATACAAAACTCTCTTTGTGTTTTTATCATCCCCTCCATTGATCTTGTGGCTATACTATACCTGTAAGCATAGAGTGATAACAATAAGTACCTGCCTAATTCCTGATCTTTGAGTGTGACCTTGCCAAGGCTACCACTGAATACACCAGTCCACTGAGGGTGTTACTGGCCACCTTAAACACCAGTTGGCGATCTTGTGTTTAACCGTAGAGCCCTATTGTTGGGGAGGGCACACGACAGTCGAGGTGAACGAGTCGTGTTCTCACTCTTTCTTAATAAGAGGCCGTTAAGATTGACTGGGAGACTCTCCTGGCGTGCAGTGGCGCCGTGAGGATCGAGGGAAGACCCGCAGGGCTACGGTGAGTTACCTTGAGCGTAACTATTGCTCACCCCAGAGTAAGGGTAGAGAATAATAGAGAGGTGAAACCCCCAACAATATATATATATATATATATATATATATATATATATATATATATATATATATATATATATATATATATATATATATAAATATATATATATATATATACTATATATTTACTATATATATATATATATATGCTTACATAAGTCAATATTCTTACAGATACCTGAAGCAGTTGGGGGTAACTTACTTCGTGTACCCGGCCGCTGCCCACAACCGCTACGAACACTCTATAGGGTAAGTTTCTCCTTTACCCTTTTACCATGACGTCTTTACGTCTCAAAGTAACTCACACTGTAAGAACAGATTAGTTGAGAGTCTACACGTAAACTTTCACGTAGACACGTGACATGTAGACTCGTAGAGAGTAAGAACAGATTAGTCTGAGAGTAGTGTCTGTACATCAACTGATGTACAGGTTCCTTAGCCTATTTGGCTCTATCATATATACACATGAAGCTGTGTATAGAGCCTGTCTCCACCACATCACTTCCAATTGCATTCCATTTGTCAACCACTCTGATACTAAAAAAGTTCTTTCTAATATCTCTGTGGCTCATTTGAGCACTCAATTTCCACCTGTGTCCCGTAGTGCGTGTGCCACTTGTATTAAATAGACAGTCTTTATCTACCATATTAATTCCTTTCAGAATCTTGTATGTGGTGATCATGTCCCCCTTAACTCTCCTGTCTTCCAGCAACATTAGGTTTAATTCCCGTAGTCTCTCCTCGTAGCTCATACCTCTCAGTTCGAGTCTGGTGGCAAATCTTTGAACCTTTTACAGTTAAGTCTTATACTTGACTAGACATGGACTCCATGCTGGAGCCGCATACCCCAGGATTTTTTTGACATATGTGGTATACAAAGTTCTGAATGATTCCTTACACAAGTTTCTAAAGGCCGTTCTTATGTTGGCCAACCTGGCATATGCCGCTGATGACCTCCTGATATGGGATTCATGGGACAGGTCTGATATCAACCACCAAGTCTTTCCCTCTCTCTGACTCTTGAAGAATTTCATCTTCCAAATGATACCTTTATCTGGCCTCTTGCTCCCTGCACCTATCGTCATTACACTTCATTTGTTTGGGTTAAACTCAAACAACCTTTTGTTCGACCATTCCCTTCAGTTTATCCAGGTCTTCTTGAACCCTCCAGCAGTTCTCCTCTGTCTTAATCCTTCTCATAATTTTGGCATCGTCAACAAACATTGAGAAGAATGAGTCTATACCCTCCGGGAGATCATTTACGTACATCAGAAACAGGATAGGACCGAGTACAGACCCCTGTGGGACTCCACTGATGACTTCACGCCAATCTGAGGTCTCACCCCTCACTGTAACTCTGTTTCCTATTGCTTAGGTACTCCATTATCTACTGGAGTACCTTGCCAGTTATTTCTGCCTGTCTCTCCAGCTTATGTACCAGCCTCTTATGGTGTACTGAGTCAAAGGCTTTCCGTCAATCCAAGAAAATGTAGTACGCCCAGCCTTCTCTTTCTTGCATAATCTTTGTCACCTAGTCGTAGAATTCTATTAAGCCAGTCAGGCTAGACTTATCCTCCCTGAACCCATGTTGGCGATTTGTCACGAAGTCCCTTTTCTCCAGATGTGTTACTAGGTTTTTTCTCACGATCTTCTCCATCACCTTGCATGGTATACAAGTCAAGGACACTGGCCAGTAGTTCTGTGCCTCTTCTCTGTCAATCTTCTTGTATATTGGGACCACATTAGCCGTCTTCCATATTTCTGATAGGTCTCCCGTTTCCAGCGATGTATTATACACTATGGAGAGTGGCAAGCAAAGTGCCTCTGCACACTCTTTCAATACCCATAGTGAGATTCCGTCCGGACCAACAGCCTTTCTCACATCCAGATCCAAAAGGTGTCTCTTGACCTCATCTCTTGTAATTTCAAACCCTTCCAAAGCCGCCTGGTTTACTGCCACCTCTCCTACCACAGTGACCTCACCTTGTTCTGTTGTGAAGACCTCCTGGAACCTCTTGTTGACGTCTTCTCAACACACCTCTTTGTCATTCTCTGTATACTTACCCGTTCTAAGTTTCATCACCTGTTCTTTCACTGTTGTTTTTCTCCTGATGTGACTGTGAAGTAGCTTTGGTTCGGTCTTGGCTTTGTTTGGTATATCATTTTCATAATTTTCTCTGCTTCTCTTCTCAGTTTAACAGACTCAGAGAACCAGATTCCTGGTTCTCTGGCATATCTCTCTGCTTTCTCGTGTTGTGTTTTTTGAAGTTCCTCCACGCCCTTTTGTTCAGTTCCTTTGCTTTCATACATGCTCTATTAAACCACGGATTCTTCTTTTGCTACTCGAATTTTTCCTTTTGTGCCGGGATAAACCTGTTTACTACCGCCTGACACTTTTGGGTGACATTGTCCATCATGTCTTGTACAGACTTAGCTCTGAGTTCTGTGTTCCATGGTATATCTCTTAGGAAACTTCTCATCTCCTCATAATTCCCCTTTCGGTACTCCAGCCTATTGTTTCCTAGTTCTGTTTGGGGGGAGATAAATCCTAGCTCTACCAGGTGCTCAAAGATCAGTACACTGTGATCACTCATTCCCAAGACTGCTTCCATCTTAACTTCCCTTATATCCCACTCATTTAGGGTAAATATCAGATCAAGCATAGCTTGTTCATCTTCCCCTCTAATTCTTGTTAGTCCCTTGATGTGTTGGCTTAGAAAGTTTCTTGTTGCCACGTCCAGCAGCTTAGCTCTCCATGTGTCTGGTCCTCCATGTGGGTCTCTGTTCTCCCGATCTATCTTCCCGTAGTTGAAGTCTCTCATGATTAGTAGTCCAGATGCATTTCTTCTAGCAACAGAAGCTGCTCTCTCTAATATGTTAATGGTGGCCATCATATTCCTGTTTGAGTCTTCTGTCATTTGGTGGTGTGTTATATATGACTACGACTGTAACTTTTTGTCCTCCAATTGCTATGGTACCTGTTATGTAGTCACTGGAACCTTCACAGCCCTGAATAACTATTTCCTCAAACCACAAGAATTTTCTTGCCAGCAGAGCTGCACAGTAGTCCTGTGGAAACACTGCATTTGCTATGATTTTTGTTAGCTTTATTTCTGTGAGTGCTATTATGTCTTGGTTTTCTTCTAGTACACTTTCTCCAAGTTCATTTGTTTTATTTGTACTCCCATCTATGTTAGTGTACAATGCCTTGAAACTCCCTTTCTTCTGTTCCTTCTCATGACCCCTTCTTTGTGAGCGTTATGCTGATGGGGGAAGCTGTTCCATTGGTGTGAGGATTTGTGAGGTGGATAACAGTGTCTCAGAAGATACTGGGGTGAGGGGTCAAGTGAAGGAGGGGGGACAGGGAGGGTATGTAATGAAGGGGGAGGGGGACAGGGAGGAAAAGGGGGAGGGGGGACCATGGTGGGAGGGGGGGGGGAAGGGTAGAAGGGTAGGAATGGGGTGAGATGGGAGGGAGGGTTGGGTGAGCATTTGAGCGGGGACATGCAAGGTTCAGGATAGGGAAGGTTTCTATACAGAGGAGGGTGGTGGAGTTTCCCTCCCCTCTGGTGATTTGGGTTGTTGGTTGTGGGCTCCCCCCCCCCCCCACCTCTGGGGATGTTGTGCTGGGAGCTGTGATTTCCTGGTTTTCTCCTCTCACCCTGTGCTTCTTCCTTGCTTTTGCCGCCATGGCTCACTCCTCCCTCGTCATGTCCCTCTGGAGGAATACTTTTTTAATTCTCCCCACATATTGCAGTTGGCTCTTCCTTGCTAGAATATTCTCCATTGTGGTCTCGTTTGCAGACATTATCTTTATCATGCAGTCTCTGTCCTTGTTGTACCAGCCTAACCTGAAAACCTTCTAAATGTTACGTTCAGCTCCTTCCATTTCTAACCCCTTCAGTATTTCATTCACTGCCGCTCTGTCTTTATCATTCCATTCTGTCCTATTAGAGCTTTCCTGCTCTTTAATACCCACAGCTACCACTGATATGTTTCTTTCCAGCAGCTGGCTAGTGGAGCATGCCGCATCCTGTGAGGTGGCTGCTTTCATGGCAACCTTCCTCACTGTGGACATTGCTTCTGAGTTCTTTTTCAGCATTTCTGAAAATATTGCTTGTACAATGGCATTCCCTTCCAATGCACCATTTCCATTTTCTCTTCAGATGATTATCTGAGCCTCAGCCTTAGTATTGCTCTCTGTGAGGGTTTTATCTCCTCCTTTGTTCCTGTTAGCTGGATTGCAGGTTGCTTATTTTATTCTTCATTTCCTGCATTTCCCTCCCGATTTCCTCTCAAACTTGGGCAAACATTTCCTTTATTTGGTCACATTGACTTTCCCTTGTGCCCTTGGTGCATCTCCCTGCCATGTAAGTCCCTTTTCCTACTATGTTGTGATAGGGTTTGCCAAGAGGGGAGCAGAGAGGGAGCGAGAGAGAGGGTGAGAGAGAGGGTGAGAGAGGGTGAGAGAGAGGGTGAGAGAGGGTGAGAGAGAGGGTGAGAGAGGGTGAGAGAGAGGGTGAGAGAGAGAGAGAGAGAGAGAGAGAGAGAGAGAGAGAGAGAGAGAGAGAGAGAGAGAGAGAGAGAGAGAGAGAGAGAGAGAGAGAGAGAGAGAGAGAGAGAGAGAGAGAGAGAGAGAGAGAGAGAGAGAGAGAGAGAGAGAGAGAGAAAGAGAGAGAGATAGAGATATGCTGTGAGAGAGAGAGGGGTGGAGGGAGAGAGGGGGTGAGAAGGAGAAAGATGGAGAGAGTGAGAGAATGAGCGAAGGTGAGAGAGAGAGAGGGAGGTGGGAGAGTGGGTTTGTGCTTAAGGGGAGAGGTGTTATGAGGGAGTAAGAGGGTAGAAAGGTGAGGGGGTGAGGTTTAGAATGGTCAGTTTCACACAGACGTGTTACCAAATCTGTGTATATGTGTGTATGTTTGTGATTGTGTGTGTGTGTTCTTTCTTTCTTTTCACCTTTTTTCCAGCTTCGTCTTGTGCTTGACAAGGTACGGGCTCCATGCTGGGGCCGCATATTCCAGGATTGATCTTACATATGTGGTATACAAGATTGTGAATGATTCCTTACACAGGTTCCTGAAGGCTGTTCGGATGTTAGCCAGCCTCGCATATACCGCAGACGTAATTATTTTTATGTGGGCTTCAGGAGACAGGTTTGGTGTGATATCAACTTCTAGATCTTTCTCTCTCTGTCCGTTTCATTAAGTACTTCATCTCCTATTCTGTATCCTGTGTCTGGCCTCCTGTTT